TCTGCCTCTGAACTGTTGCACATTTGTATTCAACATCTCAAGCTCTACTGAAATATTATGACATAATCAACACATACTTTATGTATCTTTCTACAGTATGGTATCGATTAAAATTAGTTTTAATAAAGCCTACTCTTGAAGTTCTCCTGGTCCATATGTTGTCTCCAAATACTCATACTTGAAGATGTACCACACTGATACTTCAAAAAAAATTCAGAATTTTCATTAGCTGGGGATTTACAAATTACAAAGTTTGTTTCCACTCTGATTTAGAATAAAACCCAACTATTACTGTTATCTAGTGTAACAATAAATTTAAAATAAATATTTTGAAGGGATATGATTTCTCTCCTCAATATTATACTTTGATTCAGTTTCATGACCTGTCAGTAGCACATGTGCACAGCATATGATCTAACACAGCTGAAATATTTTATTTAATTATTTAAAAATAGAACAAAGGCAGCTGCTAGTTACTACTGATCAAAATATTTTTTTAGATCAGAATGCCTCTGTTTGTGTTGTAATGCAATAGTTTGACACGGATAAACATATTGCAACAGTGACACATTACACCATAGACAGAAGACACTTTGATGTAGGAAAGAAATGTTCTAGTCAGTAATAAGTAGCATCTACTTAGCTGTTCTGATAATTCAGTTTTGCCCTACAGTCTCAGGTCAAATCAGTATGTAAATAAAAAAGGCTATAAAATACTGCAAGTACATTCTTTCCTCATTAAAACAAAACTGTCCCTCATATTTCTGCAGAGTATAATATATTTTATTTGCAACTCAGAAAATAAGTAGGACCACTGAGGAAAAACATCTCAGGAGATATTGAACATTTCTGTCACATAGGCCTTGTTATGACTGACACAGGGAACAACCAGATATCCTAGGTCATATACAGTAATTCACCAGTAATTAGAAGCAGCTTAACAATTCCTTTCCTGAATTTTCTTCCTTTCTTTTTTCCACCTTTTTGAAAGAAAAAAAGTATTTGAGAGTATTGACTGAAAGAGAAAAAAAACGTTGAAGCTGGTCTTGATGGTAGAGAAAGCAGGGAGGGAAGTCTGACTAACTGTTTTGGGACAAAAGAAAATGAGACTTCCTTTTCCATTAATTTACATTCCTTAAATCTCAAAGCATGAAAATGACAAATTATAACAGTTCCCAGACTATGAAGACAGAAAGACAGGAACCTACAGCAGAGTTCCCCTATCTGGCAGGAAAAGCTGAGAAAAAGAAATCAGTTTTAGACAGAAATAAAACAAGAGCTGACACTGAGCACCTTCTCCCAAGACTGGGCTCAAGATAAAATGCAACACTGATGGACATGCTGGTAATTTACTAAAGTCCAGAAACCTCAGAGCCAGATATCAAATCTCTCTTACAGCAAGAAACACAGAAAAAGAACCGAGTGACCCTGGCTCTCCTGGCTGGAGAGCACCAAGCCAGCCTGCCCATCAGACTGGGTTAGCACTCGCTCAGTGTAAGTAATTCAGTATTGCAAGAGTGAGGATCAGTTCGTTTCTGCTGCACTAACAATCTATCAGACTTTCTCTGTTCCACATTTGAAAGCAACACCCTCCCAAAAAAGTCACTTAATCACATGTCCTCTCAAGGCCAAGTGGATCATGTTTTAAAAAAAGTGACCTGCCTTGGTGATCTTGAAATAAACTCTATTTCCATGGCCAGCAGGACAAAGTCTGATTATACCTCAGATTCAGAGAAGGGTATGAAGCTTCAACTACTATAAACAAGAGGACAGACTCCTCCTTTCTCACCCCGAGCTTCTCCCCTACCTCCTCTGAACAATGCGGAGCATGAGGAACACAGACCCCAAATGAAAAGAAAAATATCCCAGAACCATTTCAATTTGGTCTTCACATCAGAATCTTTTATGGCTAATCCTCCCACTCACATTCTAATCTAGAACTCTTGTCCTACATCCAAGAGAATCATTTTTTTGTTTCAAGTATCTGCTGGGATGTGAGGGGGCCCATAGGCCAAGAGGGGCTATGTTCCAAGCAAAGTTTCAAACTTAGATAAACCACACGCAATACTTTACTAGTGAATATATAGAGAGACAATACTTCTAAAAATAAGTATTTGATGAAGACTGTTGGCAGCAGCAGGTTGAAATGATCCTGAAATAGCTCCACTGGCTTTGTAACATGCGTTGGAAGCCCTAAGACATGAATCAAATCTTTCTGTATTTTCAAAATCAGAGGATTTGGTACTCATTTTTTCACCCCTTCCTTTTATACCTTTGGATAGTAAAGGTATGGCAAACTGACCTGTAAGTGCTGCTAGCTACAATTCTTTGAAAAAAAAAAAGGCCCATTTACCAAAAGCTGAACAACTAAAAAAAGTCACTTGAAAGCCATCTCATTATTTTTCTTTGTTTATTTTAAATCAGGATTTTTGTGGCTGTTTTACTTTCTACCTACAGAAGAAATACCTGCAGAAGTCTAAGAGAGAAAAGTCACAGATGCAAGAGGAAGGAAAGATTTAAAGGGAAAAACACCCTGTTTACTACGAAAGACAGAAGTGGTAAAATGAAGAGGAACTAGGTCTGAGATTTGGTTAAGTCAATAAGATTCCAGAAAAAGTGGCTGAAATTTTGCACAAGAGGAATTCACACAGGAATGTCTATAAGGAACTGAAAAAAATCAAGCTGAAGCACATAACCAATATATTCAAAAAGCTTCAAGATGAAAATAAATGAAAATGTGAGAATGACTTAAGAAACAAGCAAAAGCAAGCATAATTAATAACTTTCTCAAGGTCATAACAGACTAAAATGTCCTGCTACGTTAAGGGGGAGAGCCAGAGAAGAGTGCGATAAATAAGAAAAAATCATATGAGTTTAGGAGACAACATTAAGTGAAATGCAAGGAAGGTGCAGAGAAGGACAGCAGCTCTAAACCTTCTGCATCTTTGGTAGAGAAAAAGCAAAAAGTTGGATGTACAGGAGAAGAGTCAAGACCAACTTTCACAGAAAAAGCAACAGCGAAAATGCAACAAGAAAATGACTTGAGGAATGGATCAATGTTTGCAGAAAAATGGTTTTTTTGAAAAGGATTCAGCTAAAACAGTAACATATATTCATTTAACACAGAGGAAGGAGACACTTCCTGCAAGGGAAAATGAAACAGCCACTCCTATGAATACTGCCAGTCATGCTGCATAGTGTGAAAGCAGGAGGAGAGAGGAAAGTGCACACTAGGTCAGGCCAAGGCTGAAGACTACCAAAGTAAGCCCTTCCTGGAGGAGGAAAAAAGAAAAGCAATACAGGGAATTAACTATATCATTAGGAAAGCAAACAAACAAACAAAAAAGCAGCTGTGCAGAGACACAGAGATAACTAATATCTCCAACAGTTACTGAACTGGAAGTGAGGTAACTAACACGGCAGGAAGGTCAAAGCAGCTGAGCAGCAGTGAATGAGAAAATTAAATAGTTAGAAAGAGCACATTTGTTAAGAGAAAATGTAAAGCTACTGGTCCCACTGGCAAATGGAAAAGTTCAACTTAAACTTTACAATTAATATCCAATCCAATAAAACTTCTGATACCATCTTTCTCATTTTTTCCACACAGATTCACATGGAAATTCAGTCTTTAAAAAACAAGTCTCCATTTGTATCTTTATATAAATACTGACTAAAAAAAAAAAATCGGAGTTTTTAGCTAATTATCATATTTACTGTAATAAGATACAATAAATATTTAGCTCTAATAACTAGCAATTTGGATTTTATTTTATATTTTAATGCCAACCACATATAACACATATCCAGCAAAAATCTCAATTTTGTTGAGCTTGTTTTTTCAAGTTCCAGTTTAACCCTTATTCTGGAAGTCTATGATCAAAATAGACATGAGATAGTACTTGTCATTTTAGACAGATGAATAATGATTAAAGACACTTGAAGGCTATAGCACAGCAAATTTCAACATAACAGTGGAAAGCACAGGATAGAAGAGAGTCCAGAAGCCAGTTCAGTATGGCTGTACAAAAACTCTGTACCCAGAAAGATGGCAAAAGAGGCACATGACCTTAGACCTAGAAAAAATATTTTCCACGTGTAATACGGGAGGGGAGTAAATGAGGCAACTGTGACATCAAAAAGCATGTATACAAGCATTAGCATAGGAAGTGTTATACACAACCGACTTTCTTCTCTGTGTCCTGATTTCTTAGTGTTTAGGAACAATTTCTTGTTCAATACTTCCCTGGTACATGGCTTACTACTGTCTTAAAAGTCACCAAGAATGCACATCAGCAAGAACGTGTACCTATTTTTAAACATAACTAAGGAAAGACTAAGACAGAGGAATGTGATCAGGTTGATCAGGAATATTTATTCAATGAAATGGTGCCACACCTTTCACTAATCATTACCAGCTAAGTATTAGAAATGGTTTCATCTCTAGTGCTACACCTGGTAGAACAAAGACACTTTAACAGCATAAACAGTCAAAACTTTTCAGCACTTAATAACATCTAATCTAATATCTTTTGGCTCCCCCTAACAATTTGAAATCCAAATTAAGATAAATTTGTTTAAAAGAAACCTGAACAACTGTAGAGAGTAATCCTGATACAGTGGTTGTTTTAGAACCCTGTATAATAGATGATAATCCATACAAGTGTAGTATAAACTTTGAACAAGATGTTGAACATAACAACTGGACTCCAGTCGCACTACACATCTTTTGAAGTGACTGCAGCAAGAGACCCAATTGTGCAATTTGCTGATACACAAGCCCATGTTTCAGATATGCCAGTTAGATATTATGATTGTACACTTACAATAAAAGTATACATATTTCACCTTATCTTCCTAAAGTAAAGAAGATTATATTTAGATGGGAAAATAGAAGTTTTACATAACTGAAAACTCATTCATTAGCAAAAAGTTTAGAGCAATACTGAAAAGCTGATTTTTGTTTAACACCAAGCAAGCATGGACATATGAATATTCCTAACCTGTAAAATGATTCCTCCACATTATATCAGCGAAACTCATTGGTGGGCCACTGGGAGGGTAGTGTTTACCTTTCAGAGGCTCATGATCAGTCCTTATCATATCCATTAAGGAATTTTCCAAAGAGTGCAAGTTAAAAGTGTCATAGGGCCTATTCCGGTCCTAGAAGAAAAAAAAAAGGAAAGAATAAGTGTTATTGAAAAAATAATTTTCTAACACAGGCTCATTTCTTGTTATATAAACTCCAGCATCCAATTCAAATTTCTTCTTGATAGAACTTTTCATAATTAAAAAAAAAGATAAATATAAGCCTAGAGTTGTTAAAATTATATCCTTCATTTTGCAGCTGCTGCTTTCCCCAGTATTACCCTCAGCTATGCAGAGAGGCTTTTAATATTTCTAAAAATATGCATACAAACAATAGCTAATTCTAAATATTAAATAAGGACTTAGAAATAAACCAATACCAACATTTACATTGGAGAAGTGAAATTGTTTCAGAGATTTTTAGTTTGCAGCTTCATCACCTGCCTTCTGTCACTATGCTACCTTAACATCAGAGCAAAAGAAATGCTCAAAATGCCAGCAGGCATATTTGTTCCAGAAAGTACCAAGCAACTCTTCAAATGTCTAACGTTAATCTCACAGGTTTAAGGAAAATACACTAGGTGCAAGAAAAAAAAAACAACAGGCAAGGTAGAATATGCAACACTTCCACAGTAGGGCTCTCAAAAACCAAGCAAGGGCTTTATTGTTTGAATCTCACATTTTTAATTTGCTGTAGTTCTGCTACTGTTTTATAAGTGAAAGGGGAAAAGAAAAGAAAAAACCAGAATCAATCTTTAGCAGGCCTACTAGAACAACCAGTTTCAAAGTTCAGGAACAATCCCATGGAGGAAACAATCTACCAATGTCCACGTACCTAGCGTACTGGACACAACACGACATAACAGAATGGCCATTGTAATCAGTCTCTTTCTAAAAAAACATTATTTGTCTTATTCCCATCACTACCGTTTAAAAAAAAAACAAAACAACGGTGTTTCTTTATTACGTTATGCTACAATTAATAAGGAGTGGTATAATATTCTACTGTGCAAACTGAAATCTTCACTATAATATGCCCCCATAATTCCTTGAACAATGTTTTTCACATGCTGGTTACTAGAAGATATTCTTGCTTGAAAGAATAAAATTTAAAATCCTCAGAGAAGAAGCAGAAATATGCATAGAAAAGGTAATAACAGTTTTAAGTATTATTTCTCTTGAACCCTCTTGTTCTTAGGTTGTCTTTAAATAAAACAAAGGGAGAGAATGAGGTATAAATTAAGCCTGCTTGTTGTCAAAAATCTCATGTTCCCACAGTGCCTACTCTAAACTGAAGATCCAACTTCCTTTCTCCAACACGCCAATGTTGTATTTTCTGTAAGTGGAATAGCATGGTTTTCTTCACATATTTATTTCATCCATTGAGCATTTTTTGGCAGTCGAACATGATGTTCAAATAATACTACTTGATTTCTGTTAGAAGCTATACTAAGCTCTAAAGTTCAAATGAGCTCACTGATTTCAAGTTTCATTGCTGACGATTTTCAGGTCTTCTACAGCTGCTTAAAACGTCAACATTTGTATACTGTATTTAAAAAAGTACTTGTTCACCTATCCAAGTGGATAAATACATTGGAATATAAAATAAAATGTATGCCTAGGATATCTTAAGTAGATCCTGGGGGAAAAATAACCACAAACCAAACAAAAACTCCAAAACAGGTTTTTTTGAGTTGTGTTTTTTTTTTTTTTTCAAAAAGGAAAACTTTATTTCTGTTAAAACAACCCAATTCTTAGTAATATATAGTAGGAAAGAAGAGTTTGTTTTATTTCATATTCACTTTCTTAACAGAAATGCAAGGTTATATTAAAAAGAAAAAGTGTAACTTGGATGTAAAAAAATTGCACTCTTGTGATATATTAGTAAATTTATTAAGTAAAATCTGTATCATTCTCTCAAAGCAAGAATTTTTGTGCCTTTTTCTATTTGCTTTTTTAAAATACATGTACTGTGTATACATAAGGAGGTCAGATGTTTCAACACCCAACTATGACATCTTTTTAAAGAGAAAATATGAAAGCAAACATTCATCTTATATCCTAAGTAGGGGTAGGGAAGTATTTTTCAGTCAGATCAGTCCCCTGATCGGGCTGACTACACAGCTGTAGCAGAGCTGAGCTGGCAAAACCAACACTGGAGAGCAAAAGGGCAGCACTGCTGCTTTTGCCACAGTAATAATTTATTCCAGCTTTAAGCATTCCTGAGATTATAGTCTTAGAGGACAGAAGGTGTGAGTTCAGAAGAGGACACAGCCCACAAACTGAATTTAATTGTCCTTTATTAACATATGAATGTTATATTTTAACTATGGTACTACAGCAGCAAATCCCTGGGAGGCCCCACTTTGTTCTAAAACTTCCCAAGGAGATGTGCACATGGACACATATGAAAAAAGTGAGAAAAAATCGTAGCATCAAGGCAAGGCTAGGCAGGGCAGGTTTGTCAGAATGCCCCCTTTTAAGGGGCATACAAACCTGCAATATATTTTCCAGATGAAATTAGAGCTACATTAGATGCAGGAAGATCAATTTAATCAAAACCCTTTGCCTAGGAAATTATAACACTTCCCATTATAGTACTTGAGCAAGATAAATCTAGTAAAGGAAATTTTAGACACAACAGATTTTATGAGTATGTTGTGGCACGTACATAAGCATAATGCATGCTGACTACAGATTTTGTAGTGTGGGTGATAAAACAAACAAGTCAGGGCTAACATTCTAGCTCCTGAATAAAAGGGCTACTACCATTTTTCTTAGTAGCTTTCATTTCAGTAGTAACTCATTTGTACTCAGCAGATTTGAAGATTGTTTCCTAAATTCAGCAATTTCTCCCAAGAAAATTGGTGCTTCTGTACACACACACACACACACGGGTGCGATTATGTTTCCTCATTTCTCAGCATGAACAGGTTCTCCTGGTTTTGTGACTTGATACTGTTCCATCTCCCGGATTTGGCTTTTGCATTGTAGGCCACAAACCTACTGCCAGACAATCTGAACAACAAAAACAATTCATAAAGGCCCTTAGTAGCACATGAGAACTTTGCAAGGAAGTTCTGGGACTAGGATTGTGAATGAAAATCGAAATATATATAAAATACACAATGACAAAGCATAGTAAATAACTTGAAGTTTGAAAAATCAGCAAGTCTGAAAAATCTGCTGGGATATCTTCCTAGAGAATACAAAGCTCCTAAGACCTACTTAGATAAACTACATTATGGTATAAGAGAAATCTCCAGCTACAAGGCACTGCCTTTGGGTACACAATAATCATTAAGTCAGTGAAAGATTAAGTCCAGGCTGCCCGTGTTGGATTGTACTTTTGCTGTGTACAGACAGCTACTTGTTAGCTACTAGTGGATACAGCAGCATATTTTGGTTCTTACAATACTCCAGTCTTGAAAGAAAGAAAACATTCTGTAACAACAGCTCTTAGAGAAGAAATGGTCCCCAAAACTTTAAATTCCAGCCCTTGGCTGTAATCTCTACATTCATCCATGACATAGACTTCCTCAAAGTGTACATGTTAAGCATAGTGAAAAATGTCACAGAACACAGTGTCTATAATCTGTTAACTAAAAAAACTAAACCCAGAGATTAACTGCCAAAAATAATGGCAGTCAAGACACTAAAATGAGAAAATACAACAATATGCATTTTACCTGAACTTTATACTTTTGTGCATATGTATTATGCTAGTCTTTATTTACTCAACCATAATAATTATTCAGAGGTCTCCAGTCTCCATCCAATACACATAATGAACCAACTCCAGGAATGAATCAAAACGTTGCTTTGAAGAGGTCTGTTTATCTCCAGGACAGATGCTTGTGTTGCTTATTCCAGGAGACGGCTGAGTTTTAATCAGTGCATCAGCAAATTCCAAGAGGGGAAAAGACATTCTGAAAGTTATCTTAATTATGAAACAAAGATTACTCAGTAGTACCTGAAGTATGTAATTGACAAGTATGTGTAACATTTGAAATAAAAAGAACTTTTTCCCATTTGTTGTACCCTGTAATGTAGTAGGCTTTCAGACTCACAGCACGGGCATGTAAGGGTAGGGCATACCCAGCACTACCTCAGTTCCCTCCCAATAGATACACAAACCATGTCTTTACTGGTGAGAGAGAAAGATAAAGAATGAGGAAAAAAATATTATGGATGACAATGCCAAGACCAAGTCTACAATTACAGCCATTACAGGTGCTAAGTGGATCTTAATACAGCCTGATTTCCTCACTAAGTCCTTCAGCTTGAACAGGTGAAAAAGGAACTGTGAACTGAAAAAGGAAATTACTGACATATCCCACGGCAGAGACATGAAGAACATGCACCTTGTTCCAAAAACTGAAGCTGTACTATTTTCTTCTGTCTCTGCAGAGGATTATGGCAGCAGAGGCACTTGACCCTTAATTACTGAAGTACAGTTAAAAGGTGAAAAGTTTTATCCTGAGAATGCATGTCAGCAATCTAACACATGTTGCCTGAGCCTGGCTATCATCCATACTCAAAATGCTTAACCATGTAACACGCCTCAGGTACCTGGACCTTTCCAAGATACATTTTCCTGTGTCTACATATTTCAGTTCATCTGTTTACTGACTTCCTATTAAGCTTCCAAGCTTCCTATATTCTCAACAGTATTTCAGTTTCAGTAATTTATTTCAGTGTTCTACATTTTCATGTTGCCCTAGATTTTTAAGCTTTCTGCACCACTATGTGGCACAATGCAACCCAACTCTGCTGAGCAATAAGATGGCTTCCACTTACTGAAATATTAAGTGTTCCCAGAATACCAAAACTCCAGTTAGGGTCACAGAAATCTCAGCACTTTTGCTTACTAGATTCTTTCTAGACATAACACATGGTATTTTGATCAGAAGAACGAGATGAGATCCTAGGGAACAGCTAAAACAACTTTGCTATCAATGCAAACTTCTTCACTGTGGTCATTGCTGTGTTTCATTCTGTGCCTGGATTTGGTTGCACAGGATTGCTAAGCATTGCCAACTAAAGCTGAAGCCAATGGAAGCACAGCTTTGAAT